GTGTTTGTGAGTATTCGTCTGTGAGAGAGATAGTACGATTGCGCGTGTTTTGTGTGTGTGTGTGTGTATGTGTGTGTGTGTATGGGTGTGTGTGTGTATGTGTGTGCGTATGTGTGTGTGTGTGTGTGTGTGTGTGTGTGTGTGAGAGAGAGAGAGAGAGAGAGAGAAAGAGAGAGACAGACAGACAGACAGAGAGAGTGAATGAGTAAGTGAGCGAATGATGTCTACACGTATTTGTCACGTAACACAAACAGACAAGGAAGCCCCTGCGGCATAAAACTACAAGTTGGCCACCAATTGATCCGAGATGAGGACTGTGACTTCTTTGACCAGAATGGTTCTGTGTATGGCCGGATAGGAAGAAGAGGAAAGTCATTTCTAGAAGTGAATACGTTCATACGAAAATATGGCATCTGAGTGTTGAGTGTTTTTTTTTTTTAAAGAATGATTTTGTTTGGTTTTGTCTTGTTGTTCTTTGTTTTGTTGAGGTTTTTTTCGGGAGGGGTGTTGTTTTGTTTGTCTTTTTTAAAGAAAGGGTGACAGATGCGAATGAGCTTAAATGGATAGAAAGACAGATAGACAGACGGAAAAAATGAAGGGATCAGTAGTGAAAGATTTTAAGAACCAAGATGCCATTTTGAGAGAAAAAAATGGTTTTCAAATATTTTGAATGGACTTTCTCTTCAAAAAATTAAAATTGTCTGTATTTTTTTTTCGTCTCATTAAAGTGAAGGTTTAAATTAGCAGTGGCATGTAGACCTTTTTGAATTGTATAAACGGAATTATACTTTAAACTTACGTTTTTGTGAAGTTGAGTTAGGTATTTTTCTCTCCTAAATTTCTATGATGACTTTTTTGGGTGTGTCTCTTCACATCTTCCAATTGCCCTTTTTTTTAATGGAATAGTAATATAATGTGGGGCGTTTACAATAAGTATTCTTTAGTATACACTCTGGATCTACAACACACACACATACACATACACATACACATACACACACATATATACCCACACACCCACAAACACACACACACACACTCACACAAACACGCAACCAGTCCCTGATGTCTGCTAAATGATTTACAAAGTGTAACATTCTCGGTGTCGGAGTAACAGAGTGATAAGGGTTGTTTGTTGTGTCAGTCAGCACGGCCCAGCATGTCGTCCTCTCAGTCGCAGGATTTAATCCTTTCTCCGGGGGTGGGCAAGCCACACGTTACCATTTGATGACTCGAGTCTTTGCTACTGGAAGTTTTGGAGTCTCTGGGAACATCACCATGGCTGCCAACCAGTTCGTAAAAAGTGTATTTGATACGTTTTTGAGGGTCTAAATGGGAAAGTCTGTATAGTATCGGAATTTGACAAAAAAGGTATTCTTTGTTGTTGATTCTATTGGAAGTATTGCTCTTCGAGGACTTGCCGATGCTAAAGAACATTTCTGAACTTTCAAGTCCC